GATATTTATTGAAAGTTTATTTTATGTAGAGCCTGCACTTAAATATATCTCATTAATCTTTGTAGTATTTATCAGGTGGGCACTGTTTTTTTCCCTTATCTTTTCAAAATGCTCAGAAGTGTAACTCTGAAGTGTATCTATGCCATGTTCTCTGTCCTTAGTTTCCAAGAGCCATTTCACATCTCTCTTGATTCAGTGCTACATTTATTAATGTTTAGTGTATACAGGGCACTTTAAGGGATAAAGAGATGAATAATAGCTGTTCTGTATCTTGCAGAACTTCAGTCATGTGTGTGATGTTGATGTACGTATACTGGAAGTGCAGGAGAGGACAGGTCGCAGTATGGTTGCACTTAACCCTCCCAGCTAAGGAGAACTGTGTTAAAAGCGAAAAATGAGGTCTAAACAAAGAACTGAGGGAGCCCAGAAGAGAGTAATTCTGACTTGAGGAGGGGGTTAGGAGTGAACCACAGTGCTTGTTGCCACAATTCAGGGCCTGCATCATGAAGATCTTTACGGCTTGTTGAGGAATCTGTGCTTTGTTTTCAGGGCAGTGGAGAACCACTGGAGGTTCTGTGTGTCGGGGTGAGTGGATATGTAAAGACTTTATTTTTATTTTTGCTTTAAAAAATTTTCCCCCTTAGAGTAGTTTCTCAGATGTGGAACCGCTTGATAAGAGAGGAGAAATATATTAACATTCTAAAAATACACTGTCATATTGCTTTCTATAAGTGTAATGCATTCATGGGGTCTCTCTCCTATGTGACGATGTTGGTATCAATAAAGGTCTGAACGAAGGAACCTCCTCTCACAGCCAAGGCACTTGTGAGGTTCCTCTCCTGAATGAATCTTCTGGTGCTCAGTGTGTCTAAAGTCAAGAAGTTCTTCCAGGTTTGAGTTCTTGGGTTCTCTCTCTATAGCGTGGTTACGATGATCTATAAACATTGCTAAGTCTGGAGATTTCCACATTGACTTTCTAAATGTTTTTAGTTTTTAGTTTTTGTTTTTTGTTTTTGCAAAAGAGAACCACAGAGATCATCTCCCTCTAAAGTAATAATGAATGGATGCAGAGTGCCCAGTTTTTTTTTTCTGATTCAAAGAAGCTTCTTCATTTTCTCTCCTGATCTCAAAAACTGGGAGAAGAAATAGAAATTGAACATATCCTCCTGTTCAAGGTGAAAGAGATGGGGGAAAATAGTTGTGTTAAACCAGTAATGGGATGATAGAAACTCCTAAGCAGATCCCAAAACTTTTTACTCTTAACTAAGGCTGAATTTTTCTTTTCTTTCTTCCCTGTAGCCAGTGAACACTCACTTATCTTGAAGTCAAATCATTGTTTCGTCTCTTTGAAAACCTGCAATTCCTTCACCTATGACTCTTCTCTGTGCTCCATGGGGAGGCTCAGGCCAGCTTTGTTACTGGATATCCTGGCCATGAGAAAGACAGGCAGCATGACAGTTTGGGTCACCACTGGTTCTTCTGAATTCAGACTGATTTCTGGGGCAGACGACCTCTCTCTGTCTCTTTCAGTTAGGATTATTCCACTTGGAGCCTCTTTCAGGCAGTTCTTCAACATTAGGACAAAACCAAAATAAGGGGAAAGTTCTTTTTGTGCTCAATTCAAGGTCATCGTCCTCCAGCCTGTGGAAGAGCAGTGAATTCTGTGTTAAAGTCAATAAACTAGTTTTATATTCCCTTTTGAATATTTTGATAATAGAATTATCTAAGTGTGGATTAAAATGTAAAGTGAATCATCCTAAAATTCTGACTGTATTAAAGCCGAGAAACATTCTCTTATTGAGTCTGTAGAGAGGAGACAGAGACGTAAAAGTGGGAGTTTTGGAACTATGTCCTGGATTAACTTCAGTTAAGAGGTTTTTTTAAAATAAAAATTGGTACCTGAAGTGGGATGGCTGGTGACCAGCAAAAACTGTCTTTATATGTTTCTTTTAGCTGTAGTCTAGATGTGTATTATCTTGAAATTAACCTAAGTAACTAACTGTTTCTGGCAGTCATAAAGACAACTAGTAAAATTTTCTCTGGCTCAATTTCCAGCCATGTCCTACCATTGCTTTCCTTACTAAGAGCAAGTTATAGTTTGTACTCTCTTTCTGTGTCCCTTCCTTTCCCTCCTCACATCTAACAAAGTCTACCGGTCTGCAGTAAAATGTGGATTGGTAAATAGTGATTTAAGATCCAAATAGAGGAAAATGTTTAAATAGTAACATTACCAAACAGTATTAGCAAATTAGCTTGGTTAATATTAAACCAAAGGAAAATTTAAATTCCAGAATACTTTTTCAAAATGCCTTATTTTATATTTTCATGGAGAAAGGACAGTATATTTCAGATTAATAAAAGTAAACTGCACTTCAAATGAAATGCCATTTAAAGTCACTATTTTGTTTGTGATTGGATTTCTAAGCTAAGCATGAGATCAAAGAGTAATGTGTTACAGTAAAAGCAAACTTTATTAAGCCACAGATCACAGGAAAGCTGTAGTCAGGGAAAGTGGGAAGAAAGCATAACTGGGGAGAGTAGCAAATTGCAAAGGCCTGGCTGGCAGAAGCCTGGAGGCCAGGATATCCCAAGGTAAGATTCAGGAAAAGCATTTCTGAATGACTAGCGCTGCTTATTTGCTCCTATGCCAAAGAGTACAGACTTGAAAGTCTCAACACTGTAGATTTCATCAGATGTCAGTTTAAACCCAGGCACAGACAGCTGCCCCACCCTGAGTGCGGGAGAATCTGTGAGATCCAGGTAAGGGTTGAAAGCAGCTCTAGAGACTTTAGTGCTCAGGAGAACTAAGACCAGGAGCAGGGTTTTTTAAAATCTGAAATTCAAATTTGTTTTTTCTTCTACGTAATAGACAGCCAGCTGAGGACCGATATAGCTGAGGACAAGAAAATACAGTTGACTCTTGGATGAGTTTGAACTGTGTGAGTTTACTTACATATGGACAATTTTCAATAAGTATGTACTACAGAATCACACAACCCACAGTGATCTGTGGATGGAGAACCACAGATATGGAAGACCGACTATAAAGTTATTCATGAATTTTCCAATGTGTAGAGGGTCAGTGCCCCAGACCCCCACTGCATTGTTCAAGGGTCCACTGTATAAGACAGCAGAATCACCAGTGGTTACAGAAGTGCATAGTTACTTCCCTTAACTTACTTTTCACCAAGCTTTAAAGTAGTGGTTTTTAATCTTTTTCCTGATTTTGAGAACTTGATGAAAACCATGAAACCACTTCCTAGAAAATACACATAGTTCTGTAAACAACATAAAAGGTTTACAAAATGTCCAAATCCATCGATGTGATCCTCTAGAACTGCGTTGATGGTAGTTAGCTACACTAGCTTCATTTTAAGTGCTCAGTAGCCACCATCACAGTAAGCTCTACTGTACAGGGCTGCTCTAGAATTTCATGAACTCTAGGTTAAGAACTCCTGCCCCAAATGAACCGCTATAGTTCTGCTGGCCTGTAACCCCACTCCCAGTCAAGTTGATATTTGACTGTAAAATACTGTGTATAAAAGCTGTTTGCTCTGTCTGAATATAGATAGATCTCAAAGAAATGGAGGAAGACTAACAGTAATTTTGAATAACTTTAAAAATCTATCCAGCTTTAAGTACCTGTTAATAACCTAAAGTTAAAGAGATAGCAAATAGTTCATCCATCATTCTTACTGTCTCAAGGTATGCAAAGGTTTGTAAACATTCCCATGCCCCATGTCCCGCAACAATAATCCGAGTCACTTTTGTATGAGATAGGGTAAGCTTTCAGGAATTTGCTGTGCCTTAGCAACAGCTAATATTGAATTCATATTAAGTGCCAGGTATGATTCTAAGCATCCTACATATGTAAGCGCATTTAATCCTCACCGTTACAAGGTTGGTATAGTAGTATCCTCTCAAAACAGATGATGGAACTGAGGTTTGGGGCTTAGTGAGATTTAATAACTTGTCTGAGGTGACATAGTAAATCCCAGAGAAGTGGATATTAGGTCAGAATCTGTTGTCTCCTGAAATATGAATGTCCAAAACATGGGAAAAAGTGGGTCTTCCAGGACTCTGAGGTCACATGTCTTAATAAAGTGTTCTGAAATGGACCTATACTAGCTTGTGTTCTGTGAGGCCTCTGGTTCTGCATTTGCCACAGCAGCTTCCTACCTTTCCTCTGGAGTGGAACAAGAGAAAAAAATACTCAGACTTTTTTACACCCGGTCACTGAAAGTCGACCCTCTCCCTCCATACATCACCCTTTACCATCATGGCAGGCTGAACTTTAGCGACAGACTAAAATGTGATCCTGGTAAGTGAGTTAACTGACACCCTGTAACATGCGGATGATAATACCGTCTATTATTATAATATCGTCAACACAATTTTGTGTGTTGTGAGGATCCAGCTGCACGTAAGCAGGTGCTCAATAAACGACTACTGTTTGTCACGGTTCAATTCATGACCCTTCTATCTCCTGAGACCACGGGCCTGACCGTCGCTTTAAGGAAAGGAGGAGCTGGGCCGACCTGGACCGTGGTCACCTGCCTCAAAGCTGGGCAGCCCTCTCCTCAGCAGCACAGACCCTCGACTGCGCCGGCCAAGGAATCGACCCTCTGGGTTTCCTTCCATTTGGCTCTCACGATTAAAGTTCACAGCCGACCTTGGAGGGAGATGAATAGAGCCCTCGCTCCCGCAGGGCTGGACACCCCCCCCCCCAAAAAAAAGCACGCCCCGGGCAAATTTAAAATCGGAAGCCGGCGGTGTAGGCTGGATCCCGAGCGGCCCCGGGGAACGTCCAGCCGCCTGCAGCGGGACCCCAGCCGGGCAGAAGATCGCTACGGGCCACAAGCCCCACTCCCCTCTGACAGCTCGGTACGGGGCTCTCTGAAGCGCCCCCCGTGTCTTCAGGGCGCAGGCGCGATTCGCGCCACCTTGCATCTCCCGGCAGGCCCCGCGGCGGCGCTGACCCCGGCGGGACCCGCTCTTCCCCGCCTACCCCTGGAGCGGAGCAGGCGGGCGAGTGAACCGTGGCTCACGTGCCTCTGAGGCTGCCGGGGCGGTTAGGGACTGCCTTGGAATCCGTTTTGACCGGGACGGTGATTCTTAAACTTGTCTGTGGGGGAAGAATTTCTCGGAGGGGCTCGTTAATTCAAGTTTTCGGGCTCTACCCTGATACTGAAGCACAGGATCTCGCGTGTCTTAGAGCTTTGCTTTTTACTAAGCTTTCCGAGGGGTTCTGACCTCCCCCCTAGCCGGCCGGTCACAGACGATTTGGGTTTAAGTTCCAAATGGACTTAGCAAACCAACGCGTCTCTGCCCTCCCCCAGGGACTTATGGAGCCTCTGGGATCGCCCAGTGGCCCGGCCTCTCGTCTCCAATTGGCCCCTCGCTCTTCCCGCCTACGTAGGGAAATCTTTTCTTCTGTTTGGTCGGCGGTGAGTCTGTGGCGAGACCTGACCCAATGGGCACTTGAGTTCCCAGAACGTGACCCGGAAGTTGGTTCCGAGCAGGCGCCGATAGCTGTTGACGCCTAACGCGCGCTGGGACTTCCGGCGTGGGAGCCAAGCGCCGAGTCCTGCGTGAGTCCGCCGAGAGGGGAAAAACGCGTCATTCCGGTCCTGCTTTGGGGCGGTCCTGGCGGGGCGGGTCAGGGGTCGGCGCGGTGGCGCCCAGGACCTACTGAGGCCGACGGGCCGGAGCCAGCTGCGCCCGAGCTGGATCTGGGTTTCCTGGCCGAGACTTGGCGCCGCGGGTCCCCTGGCTCTTGGGGACTCCGGCCATCCTTGCACGGGGTCCGGAGCGATTTCCTAGACGGGCGCAGCTGGTTTCGGGGCCGAGGCGCTCCCGGGGCCTGAAGATGGCGTCGGGTCCGGGCTCCCAGGATCGGGAAGGTCTTCTGATAGTGAAACTGGAAGAGGACTGCGCCTGGAGCCAGGAGCTGCCCCCGCCAGACCCAGGTCCCAGCCCTGAGGCCTCCCACCTGCGCTTCAGACGGTTCCGCTTCCAAGAGGCCGCTGGGCCCCGGGAAGCACTCAGCCGGCTCCAGGAGCTTTGCCATGGCTGGCTGCGGCCTGAGATGCGTACCAAGGAGCAGATCCTAGAGCTGCTGGTGCTGGAGCAGTTCCTGACCATCCTGCCCCAGGAGATCCAGAGCAGGGTGCAGGAGCTGCATCCGGAGAGCGGCGAAGAAGCGGTGACCCTTGTGGAGGATATGCAGAAAGAGCTTGGGAGATTGAGGCAACAGGTGAGAGAAAGAGCTGTTTTATTTACGATTTGTTTGGCCCCGAGGACTGGGACACCGCGTTGGCCCAGTTCACCGTGTGAATTTACTTGGTTGCCCTCAGTAGACCTTACGTGGGCAAGAGGCCTTTTTGTAGTTTAGTCAGGAACTTTCGTTCTCCAGATTTCCCACAAGTGGATAGAGTGAGCAGTGAAGAGTGCCCTGTTTCCACATAGAGGCAGTGTCTCTGCATTAGTGTGAGCCCAGGAGTCAGCTTGCCAGTTTCAGATCCTCACTGCCCCGTACTAGCTTTTGGACTTTGAGCAAGTTACTTAATTTCTCTGGGCCTCGGATTTGCCACTGGTGAAATGAGAACAGTAAGATATCTCAAGGGTTGCTTTGAGGATTAGAAAGAGCAGCATGTAGTTTTGATCACAGTGCTGGCTTGCAGTTAGTGTTTAATAACTGTTAGCTGTTGTTATATAAAGGTCAGCAGTCTAATATCTACAGAGCTGGGTGGCAGTTAATAGTGGACTTAGAAAAACAGTTTGGCATTGAGGTTCTGAGGGCACTTCCCCCAGGGCCACCTAAGTTTAACTTATCCAGTAGTGAGGAATAGGTGCATCTAGAAAAGGTGGAGGAAAGCAAGAGGGAGTGAGGTGTGTCAGAAGAGCTGTGTGGGGAAGGTGTGCACTAGGAATGAACTCTCCCCCACCCCGTCCCCCAACACACATTTTCTTGGGTGTACACAGGATCAGAAAAGCCTTTAGTGGAAACCATTTTTTTCTCTTGCTGGGTCCAAAGGGATTGCTAGTGGTTCTCTATAGAAGGCTTGCCCTCAGAATTCTGTAATAATTTCCCTTCCTTTCCGGCCCTGTTGTGATGATGAGTGATGTGGGTTGGTTCCCAGGTCACAAACCATGGGCAGGGAACAGAAGTGCTTTTGGAGGAGACTTTGCCTCTGGAAACAGCACGAGAGTCACCGAGCTTCAAGCTGGAGCCAGTGGAGACTGAGCGAAGCCCTGGGCCCCAGCTGCAGGAGCTGCTAGGCCCCAGCCCCAAAAGGGACCCCCAAACTGTAAAGGAGAGGGGTGAGGAACAGTTATCTGGGCAGGTGGGAGGGAGGAAGGGCTTTGGGATTGAGCAGAACTGCCCAGGAAAGGGCATTTCTGACCTGAGGGTTGTCAGGTGTGGAGTAAAAGACCTAAAAGTGGTTTGGGTTCCTCTAGGGGTGGGAGGAGGAGGTGGGGGGATCTCTTATTAAGCCCTTTTGTATGCAGAACAGAGACATTTAGAGCTGAATAAATGATTGAGGACTTTTAATACCTGGGCCAGCAGGAGACTGCTGGTATTCTGTCGTTTTGGATACCACTTTATGCCTCAGTTGCTTTCTTTTGTTCAGTGTTGCATCCTCAGAGCAGAGCCTGGGTGTCGGGGAATGGATACTGTGTCATAATAATCCTTGGGTTGCCAAGGACTAGGAATGCCATTCTCATCATAATTTCTGTCACCTTCAGCATTATCTGCTCCCTGGCTTTCTCTCTTTCCTCCTGAAGGAAACATGGAAGACAAGGAGCTGACTGGGCCCCAGGTGATGTCGAAATTCTCATTATCTCCCCCTAGTCTGCTTCACCACATGCATCTCCCCCACCTTCTTTGTCTCCTCCACACCTCACTTGTAGGCCCGGCACCCTGCTTCCCCATGAAATGTGTCCTTGGCACCCCTGGGTTTTGCCCCTTTAACCCATGACTCTGCTTGAATTGTTCTTGGCGCCTCAGGGCCTAAAGGAGATCTTGTGCTGTTTCAGTTGCCTGAGAGCTTAGAGGACGTGGCTATGTACATCTCCCAGGAGGAGTGGGGGCATCAGGATCCTAGTAAGAGGGCCCTCTCCGGGGACACGGTGCAGGAGAGTTATGAGAATGTGGACTCACTGGGTAAGGACTTCTTTTCCAGGGATGAAGACTGAGCCATTTCTAACCAGGGTCCTGTCCCTTAGCCACTCACCTCCGGATATAAGTTCTGAGTTTTGTCAGAAGACCTGTCTTTGTCTAAAGTCCCCTGGTCTAGGATTAGTAAAATATTTGCCAAGTGCCACAGTTGGTACACTTACAGACCCAGGCTGCCAGAGCCGAAGGCAGGGAGTCTGACTTCTAGGGCAGAACAAATCAAATCCAGTGATGCACCACTCCCACTCCCCTCCCCTACACCGTCTCATCACACGCAGTGTCACAGGATGCTCTGAGGCTTTAAGTTTTTGATCCCTGGCAATTTCAGAATGCTTAGTCTTCTGACCTCACTTATATTATCTACGCTCCATTCGTATTTCTGGGCCCGTCCCCAGAGACACAAATTTCAGGGGCTGTGGCATCAACATTCCAGCTTAGTGGCTGTCCCGGTCCTTAAAAATTCAGGAAAGGGAAAGGCTTTGTGGAAATTTGGAAATGATATATCCAAAACAGGGTCTAAGTAAGTTAAGCATAAATTAAGATGCATCTGTGTGTTGAACTATCTATCATGCAGAGATTAAAAATGAGGTCTGTGAAATAAGACAAAAAAATCAATAGTTGGATTTAGGTGGAGAGTGTACAGATATTGTATAATTCCTTTTTTTTCCTGCATGTGTGAAAATCCTCACAATAACAAGTTGGAGGAAGTCAAAAAACAACATGGAACAGGACCGTGTACATTATCATCATAACTCCGTTGATGCACACAATAGAAAAGAGTCACCTTGCACTTTGTTCTCTTGTGAGGTTTTTGCAAAGAGAAGCACCGCTATCATCTCACTTGAACTAGTTTGCAAGGGAGTTCCTGCTGGGTTTGGTTGCCTTCTCCGCATTCTCTCTCACTGCCATGGCTTGGTGCCTGAAGTTGAGCACAGCTCTTTCAGTGAGTGCCAGATAGGAAGAGAAGATTGCAAGTTCTTGGAGTGAAACCTTTTAGAGTCCCATGTTTGCTGCCATTGGAGTGAGCACAGTACAGGAATGGCACTTTTGGGTTTTAATCTCAGAGTCCCAAGTCCTTTTCCAATTGTCCAGTAAATTATATTTTCTCTTTCTGGAGCTAACCAGTCATACTTAGTTCTATTTTATATTGATTTGTAAGAGTCAAGACTCTTTTACATTAGTAAGCTGATTCCTCAAGGAACTGACTACCCATTTGATTGTTGTTTTAATTAAAAGTTTTACATTCTTGTTGCAAAAAATCCCAAGTAGCACAAATATATAAAGAGGAAAAAAAGCCTTAGTCTCCCTCCCCTCATTTCTTTCTCTAGAGGTGACCAGTGGGTGGAGTTTAGTGTATGTTCCAAGTAATTACTGTCAGACTTACTGCACCTTCTGTACCTGTCCGCTCAGGGCAGGGAACAAGACTTATCTTTGTTTCCCCTGCCTGGTCGAGGAAAGTGTGACATAGAAATCCTTTTCTTTCATTGTGAACAGAGTCTCAGGTTCCCAGTCAGGAGGCCCTGAGCGCCCAGGTGGAACAAGGAGGAAAGCCATGGGATCCCAATGTCCAGGCTCGCAAGGAGGGCCTGAGCCCCAGAAGCCCAGCTGCAGGTAAGGAGTGAAGTTGAGCAGCCTGACCAGCTGGCCTCCGCTGTTGAGAATGAGGCATTTGAGGTTTTGGTGTAAGGCTAGCCCGTCACCACTGCCAGGGAGGTACTTGGCTTCCCGTGGGTCCCCACTGCCCACTTCTATCCCAGTGATGGCAGGCGAGGCTCCCAGGGTGCAAAACGTAAGGAAGTGTTCAATCTTGGGCTCCCTTGCCCACCCTGGTCCCAGTCCTGCGCCATCTCCCCATTCTCCAAGGGCAGAAGCCAGAGGCTCAGTTGAAGAGGGAGTGGGGCCCTTACCAGGGAATTCAAGATGGGTTTGAGCTCTGATTCCTGAGCAATGGCCATGCTCCTTATATGGGTGCCTGTCTAGAGTGCTTTCCATCTGTGGGGGAGACGGAAGACAGGTAAAGCCAGCCCTTCTGGACTTCTGACCTGCGGGTAGTAGGTCACGTGGGGTTTCCTTTTATCTGGTGTAGAAATAATACGGGTTTGGTTTCTCTAACTCTTCCAGGGGAAGAGAAATTTGAGAACCTGGAAGACAGTGCTCAGTCCAGTTCCCCTGAGAGTGTCCACCCTCAGGCGCTGCAGCCTGGCCAGGCCAGAGGGGAGGTACCCTGGAGCCCGGAGCAGGGAAGGCCTCAGGACAGGGCGGAAGAGCCCTGGGAACCTCCCCCAGAGGATCGGACGGAACAGACCTTAGTGGGGGCCACCAGTTGCAGAGAACTAGGGCGACCAAAGGAACTGCAGCCTAAGAAGCTCCACTTATGTCCCTTGTGTGGCAAAAATTTCTCTAACAACTCAAATCTAATTAGGCACCAGAGAATCCATGCAGCGGAAAGACTGTGTATGGGGGTGGAGTGCGCAGAAATCTTCGGTGGGAACCCACACTTGCTGTCACTACACAGAGCCCACTTGGGAGAGGAGGCCCATAAGTGCCTGGAATGTGGCAAAAGCTTCAGTCAGAACACCCACCTGACTCGCCACCGGCGCACCCACACAGGCGAGAAGCCCTATCAGTGTAATGTGTGTGGAAAAAGCTTCTCTTGCAACTCCAACCTCCACAGGCACCAGAGAACGCACACGGGCGAGAAGCCCTACAAGTGCCCTGAGTGCGGGGAGATCTTCGCCCACAGTTCCAATCTCCTCAGGCACCAAAGGATTCACACAGGAGAGAGACCTTACAAGTGCACCGAGTGTGGGAAAAGTTTCTCTCGAAGTTCACACCTTGTCATCCACGAGAGAACTCATGAGAAAGAGAGGCTTTACCCCTTCTCTGAGTGTGGGGAAGCCACGAGTGACAATACTCTCTTTCTTACAAATCAGGGGACCCATAAGGCAGAGAAAAAACTCTTTGAATGTTTGACTTGTGGGAAAAGCTTCCGACAGGGCATGCACCTGACCAGACATCAGAGAACGCACACAGGGGAGAAACCCTATAAATGTAGCCTCTGCGGGGAAAACTTCTCTCACAGATCCAACTTAATCAGGCACCAGAGAATTCACACGGGAGAGAAACCCTATACCTGTCATGAATGTGGAGACAGTTTCTCTCACAGCTCCAATCGGATTCGTCATCTGAGAACCCACACGGGAGAGAGACCCTATAAATGTTCTGAATGTGGAGAAAGCTTTTCTCGGAGTTCACGCCTTATGAGTCATCAGAGAACTCACACTGGGTAGAAACAGTGGGGTTTTTTCTTGGCCCCCCTCCCCCCCATAAGGTGGCATATTCAGAGGGTTTTGTTGTTAAGAGCTGGTATTTCTCACCCAGCTGACCAGATGATGTGCATTTTAAGGTAACTGGGGAGGGTCACTGTGAGGGAGGTGCAGAGGCAGGAAATGATTAGCACAAAACTGAAAAGGAATTCCGATTGAACTGGTGAGGACAGGCAAGTCTTTGAGGGGACCTGCTCAGGGTAGACTTTTCTCTGACGTTCTTCTTGTCCCAGGGCACACCTTCCCCCTCAGTATATTAAGCCAGCTTTCGACTTGGGTGCCCTACTGTGTCCAGTATCCCAACAACTAGGGGAGTCCGTGGACTTTCTGTTGCTGCTTCCTCACTTGGGACACTCGGCAGGAGCATTTGGGCTCCTGGGGCCCTTGAGACCAAAGAAGTCTCCTGGGAAGCCAGCTGGAGGCACCAAAAGACTGGTAGTGAGTTGCAGCTCTCCTGAAGGCCTGGCTGGGAAGCCATAGGCCGCCCAGGGCAGCCAGCACCGCCCCCTCAGTGGCTTGACAGTAGGGCTCGTTGGCAGGTCATGCATGTAAATTTCATGTCAAACAAAAAGGAACCAGAGACCAGGTCAGCCCAGGAGTTGGCAGAGGAAAACAGTCTGAGTTAATGTACGCTTTACAGAGATTGAGTCTTCAGAGGGTTCCATGAAAGATGGTTTCCCTGGGAGACTTTGAAAATGTGGATCCTGGTAAAATTCGGGATCATGCCTTGCCCTGTTGAAAATAGGTTTCAATGGTAATAAATATCTTCAGGAAACATGAACGTGTGTGGCTCATCATTGAGGGTCTTTTTCTTGTCCTCCAGTGTTGATCTGTCTTCCATCTGCTTTGGTTAGAGGACCTGCTTTCTCTTTGTGGTCTTACTGGGCAGCTCCAGGCAGGGACTGCTGTGTGGTAGCAAAAGGTCAAGCCCAGTGGCTGCTTGGGGTGATGTCATAAGGGTGTCCTAGAAGGATTTTTTTTTTTTCTGCTCTGGTGTACAGCAATGAAAATGTGTCTCTTTGTTTAGAATGTTTACTTTCTTGTAAAGTAGCTAAAGGAAGGCCTGGCTCTTCAAAGACAAGTTAGTTTAGTCTAGCAAATGTTTCCCAGGAAAAGATGGTCCTGATATAATTGAGTTATGAATGGAGGGAGATATTGGGGAGGGCAAAATTATTAGGGGAAAGCATTACATTTTAGAATAGGGAACCAGGAATTCTAGGAGTATGTATCTATGGGAAAGAGGTCGAATATGAGGAGAGATTCTGGGAGTAGAGAATTCTGATACCAGGACAACATCTCAGGATTTGGTCCTAGAGGAAGGTATCTAAGTAGCTGTTCATCGGGAGAAAAAGATGAAACATTCCTTTGGCAACTGGCTATTAAATATTGCAATTTTAAGGGAGGGAAACAACCCTGCATGCCCTTTACCTTTGCTTATCAGTCTTAGCTCTGCCTCAATGTAGTATGAGTTTTTCCTTGGTTTTCTGTGCCAATTTTAGAAAATCTTCCTGTTTCACATTTCTGTCCCTTTCTCTTACCCACAAGAGGGCAGTGGTATTGTAGGGGTTGGGGGTCAGGGTAGGGAGGCAAGGCTTTGACAAACATTAGTGTAGGATCAGCACTGGTAGGAGCAGGACAAAGCTAATGTGGCTGCTGATGGCGTGAAATGGGTGGGTAGTGGAAAACTGATGTTACTAAGCACTCTCTGGTTAAGATGGGAACTTACGTGGATTACAAATCTTAAGGGAATGGAAAGCACCCTCCCCTTCAGATCTCCCCTTCCTCTCATCACCCATACAGATCTGTGATGGGGTCTAACTGGCATTGCTCCTACTTGGAGAACTGCAGCTTGGGGCCAGAGCACTGGGGACCCCCAGGTATTCACTCCCAGCACTGAAAAGGCTTTCCAATAGGAGACTTGACCCAGTCCCCAGTCTGGCTCCCCTGCTAGCAAACTTAACGTGTAGAGCTGTTCTTGGTCTTGTTTTAATGAGATGATGTCACAAAATATTGCATGTAAAACACTTAGCACAGAGCCTGGCACATAGAAAATTATTTTCATCTACTTGTGCCATCTGTGAGCAGATAATAGGGCAAATTGCCTTTATTCTAAGCACCTGGCGGGAAGTTAGGGTAACAGGCAGGATTGACAACTTCTTCCTTGTAGTCGTATTTCAAAAAGCAGGCCAGAGGCCCTTACTGCAGGCACCCGTGAAGTCACTGCAAGGGATCGCCAAGTATATATACTCTTACAGTACACACATACTTTTTACACTAATACTTTTACCCAGCTAGTCATCTTGAGAATAACCAGAACAGATTCCAACTGACCTTTATGTCAGAGGGAGACTAACGCAGTGGGTAATAAAGACCACTATCCCCTTAGTCCAAATGGAGATCTGGGAGATGTGGAGTGACCCTGAACATCAGCCAAACACTCTTGTAGCAAAGGTAGCACAGGAAATCAGCAGAAAGGCTCCTGGGTGGAGAATCAGGACCACGTTTAGGCAATGTGAAAAGGCCTGGCAGACACAGATAAAAAGCAGCAGGGCCAATGTTGATAACGACAAAGCCCTGTGACACCAGAGACCAGAAGAAGTGTAAAGATAGCACTAAGTTTTTTTGTTCTTTTGTTTTTCCCAAGAAAAAGCCATCACAAATCACTTTAAGAATTTTTACTGTAGTAATGTATGAACTTACAGGTCTCAGTAACATGAAATTTGGTTTCAGATTCCAAACCCTTTAAAGAAGAGTTTAGTGTTTGAATCATTTACATTACCAACTGATAAAATTTTAGAGAGTGCTTTAAGACTTGTAATTTTTGTAAACCTTTCACAAACATCTGAAACAACTATGTAAAAGGGTTTTAATGTTGTGTTACAGGAAACCAACTATCCAATTTATTAGCACTAGAAGGCTAACTGCTTCGGGTGTCAGAACTCAAGAACAGCAAGATGAATTAAAGCAAAAGTCATTTATTAGAAGTATTTTCTTTGTAAGTCTTTTTTTTCTTAGAAGCATTTTCTTTTAGTCCTCAATCTAGCTTTCAATCACTTCTGATTAAAAATTGGCTTCCATTTCTGAAAAGGAGACTGATAATTCCTTCTGATCATACAATTCTTACTAAGAGGGGTTGTCTTGCCACCTTGCTACACAGTTAGGAGGCAGTGGGAATGGTCTAGTAAATTCAACAATGTCAAAATGGTTGATGAAAAATGGTTCAGCCCCTCCACCCCAAACTTCAACAGACCTTCCAGTTAATATCCTCACTTCATCACTGAGACACCTTGAATGTCTCAGAAGCTTCTGTTAAGAAATCAAAACTGGTGGTTCAAACCTGCTTAAGGGAGAGTAAGATTTCCCCAGGCAGAAAGGATGGGAAAAGAAAATACTAAGTTACTGAAATCCTGGGATGTATTTCTGGACATAATGAGGAACTGTGTTTCCCTCTCCATCAGGAAAACGTTCTATGACCTGGGTGTGGTTCCCCAGGCAGAGGGTGAAGCTGCCCTTGAGGGATTCCCGTTCTCTTGGGAGAGGGTCCAGTTTAAGTTTGGGAATCTCGCCCCAGCCACTGGAAGGGGTGCCTGCGTTTCTCCGAGGAGCTCCAGGCTTCGGAAATGATTTCCAGAACCCAAAACTTTAGTCCTTTCTCAGGCTTGGGAATAGTAAAAGAGTGTACGGGTCCCGCAACTTCGCCTTCCGGCGGCATCGGGCACCGGACCGGGCGCGACGCTAGAACCACCAGCGTGCGGCACCGGGCTGGCCCCGTGGAGGACGG